GCACACTCTCTTCAAGATGGTCAAGAGCAGGAAAGCGACGGCGGAGGAGTTGAAGAATTCAGTCTGGAGCAGGTGGATCTCTTATTTTGGCAGGCCGCGCGTGTTTCAGGTGGATCCTGAAGGAGCGTGGATGAGCAACACGATTCGGGAGAACCTCGAGAGCAGCGGCATCCAGATGGATCCGATCCCAGGACAGGCTCACTGGCAGTTGGCGGCATCGAGCGTCTCATCAGTTTGATCAAAGACTCCATGACGACACTCGCTCGAGAACTGCCTGGAAGATCATGCGAGGAGTACCTGGCCAGGGCCATGGCTGCCTACAACGAGTTCGACCGTCATCGAGGATCCGGATCTGGATGGTTCTGATATGCAGGTTCCAGGTGACCCCACGAACCTTCCAGCACTGGAGTCAGACGCGGTGGACGCCGAGTTCGGGAACAATTGAGTTCATGAGGAAGGCACAGGAAGCTTTTCTTCGATGGGTCTATGCGGAACGAGCTCGCTGGGCGGCCCATGCAAGGTCCAGGAAGTTGCAGGTTTTTACTCCAGGGGCGCTCGTGTACTACTTCAGGAATCCTAAGAGCAGTTGCATGACTGATTGATTATATGGTCCTGCGCGTGTATTGGCGAGCGAGACTGTTCATCGTAACGGCGAGGTTCAGGCGAGACCTCGAGTACGGCTCAATTCGTGCGGTCGACTGATACGATGTGATCCCTGTAAGCTCCGAGATGCGTCTGATCGGGAGATTGCTGAGCACGAGAGCATTCACGGAACGGAGCTGCCATGGACTTTCAACAACATGACGAGCAGTCTTCGGCCAGGACAGTTTGAGGACTTGGCGGATGATCAGCGTCTCATTCCGAGCGACAAAGACTATGAGGAAGCAGCGGCAGCACCACCTCTACCCACAGTGACGGAAGAAGGACCACCACGACATCGCTTACGAGGTAAACGTAACCTGGAGCAGCATGAGCAGAGGCAGAAGATGATGAGGACGGATCCGGCGACTACAAGAGGGAGTTCGAGTTCACAGGTGGACACGCTTCCAGCGACTCCAGCGAGACCTCCGAACAACTCCAGGAAACCTTCAGTGAGGACATCATCATATGTGTGGGACGGTCTACCTCAGGAAGCTCAACCAGCGGCTAAGTATGGCAGGGAGCGTACGGAGAGGCAGAAGCGGCATGACTAGAAGGAGCAGGAGTCGTTGACGAGTCAGCCGGAGGTGAAGGAAAGCTACTGGGGCCTGGAGGAGAACGCTGTCGAGGTGGAGATCACCACACCCGAAGGAGCTTGGAGTGGATCGGCGATTCGAGATCTAAAAGCATACGTGGCCACACAACTTCGTCGCCAACGTGCTGAAGTAAAAGAAAGACGTTTATCAGCCGAAGACCTGGACAGATTCAGGAAGGCCAAGACGAAGAAGGCACAGGAGTGGATCAAGGAGATGGTACTTACCAGAACATGTACGAGTACCTGCAGACAGGATGATGCGGCTTCGCTGGGTCCTGACATGGAAGATCGATATTGCAGAACCGGGCGCGAAGAAGGCGAAGGAAAGACTGGTGATTCTGGGCTTCCAGGACCCAGACCTGACCACGGAGGAGTCATATGCTCCGACAGCGACGAGAACTTCGACGGGGACAGGTGGCTCTCCTCAAGAAGTCCGCCTATGGTTTAGTTCAAGCTCCGAGGGCGTGGCACCAGGCTGTGAACAAAAAAATGTTGGAACTCGAGTGGAGGCAACTGGAATCAGATCCGTGTGTCTGGATTCTTACCACGCCGGGAGCTTCTGGTCAACCTGAACGAGTACGGGGCATGGCTCTGTCTCATGTGGATGACTTCTTGTTCGCCAGGCGTGACGATGATGAGTTGTGGACCAAAGCAAAGAAGCAGATCATGGATACTTTCAGGTGGACCGAGTATGAGTACGGTACGTTCACACAGTGCGGTGTGGACATCACGCAGAAGGCGGACTGGAGCTTCCACCTGAGCCAGAAGGTGTACATGGAGCAGATCGAAGATATCGAGATCCTGCCTGAAAGTCGGAAACAGGTTTCGGCATCCGTGACGGAGACGGAAAAGAGTCAGTTCAGGGCGGCCACTGGAAGTTTGCAGTGGAAGGGCACACAGACAGGTCCAGACATCATCGCAGAGTTCAGTTTACTGCAGAGCAAGACGGAGTCGTACACGGTCGAGGACCTGATCAAGGTGAACAAGCTGATCCGCAGGGCTAAGGAGGTTGCTGGATGGTGCCTAGAGATTTGTTCGTTCAAGAGCGAGGACCAGCTGGCAGTTGTTGGCTGGGGTGATGCAACATTCGCGAATAGGATCGACGGAAGTCAACGGAAGGCAGGATCATCGAAGCCGTGCCGTTGTCGTTCTTGTCGGGCGAGGAGACCGGGGTTTCTCTCATGAGCTGGCGGTCTGGAAAGGTCGAGCGAACGTGCAGGTCCCCTCCGGCGGCAGAGGTTTCGGCCACAGTCAATACGGAGGATGAGGTGACGTATGTGAGGTTTCTGCTTTCGGAGCTTTCTGTATGGCGACCGAATCTTCGAGACCCATGGGCCCAGGTGAAAAGGACCCCAGGAGTTTTAGTTACCGATTCTAAGAATCTCTACGATCGATTGCGATGTCCCGAGAAGCTCATGGGCGGGAAAGAGTTTCGACCTGAACTTGATCTTTTAGCGCTGAGAAACGGTATAATGGCTTGTGAGTGCCCGGTGAGATGGGTTCACAGTAATGCTATGTTTGCGAATAGTTTAACCAAAGGCCATAAGCGATAGCAATTGGATGCGTGTTTCAGTAATGCGCGTCGTTGGAGATTAGTTTACGACCAGCTGTTTGAATCGGCCACGAAACGAAAAGGCTTCGGGATTTCTGCTTTAGAAACCGTGCAGAATCTAGATTTCCGTCCGGATCACTGTGGTGAGTTTTCCCAAACCTAGATGACTGCCCGTTCGCCCAAGCTGTGAATTTTGAGCGAAAAGGTTTTAGGGTCGGTGTCGATCTGCCGATATTGAGTCCGAATGTTTCTGAATTCGCTCTATCCACAGCCGTTTTGGTTATAGGCCTTCGCCGAGGACCAGCAGGGTCCCAGGGCCTGGAGAGGCCCCACCTTTCTCCGACTTTCTATCCACGAACCCAATACCATACCATCTACATCTCTCTCCATCCTATCTCCCAGAACGTGCTGTGCAGTGCTGCGCGAGACGAGGCATCGAGGGACGCCTCCGAGAGAGAGGACATCTGGCGAGTGCGTGGCCGGCTGCGAGGTAGAAAGAGAGCTGCGTGTGAAGCTTCGCTTCACAGAGGGGGACCTGGACACAGAGGGGGCGCTGGGGTTCGAACCGGGAGGGGGGCCCCTCTCGTCCAGGAGGAGGGGATTCGAACCACGGGGGGCCTTCCCTTAATAGAGTCCTGTTAGTGCTCGATCAGGCTCCAATAGAAACCCGTTAGTACTCGATCAATCTCCAACACAGCCCCCTGATCTAGCTGGATCCAACTCTAAAAGCACCCTAGCTGGGCTCGATCCAACTCTGATAGAGTCCAAGTATAGCTGGACCCAGATCTAATCGAATCCTACTAAGGCTCGATCCAGTTCTTATGGAATCTCACTAAAGCTGGATTCACTTTCAATAGCACCCTAGTCGGACCTTATCCAACTCTCATAGACTCCTACTAGATCTGAAACCAGCTCTGCTTGGATCCTACGAAGGTTCGATCCATATCAAATATAATCCTACACACAGCTAGGTGCAGCTCTAATTGAATCATACTGGGGCTCGATCCAACTCTACTAAAACTCAGGAAGGATCGACCAAGCCTTAATCCGCCACTGTGCCTCCAGCACGTAGTGGAACGCTCCAAGGCTCATGCAGCCCTGAATTAAAAATGAAGGGTTGCAAGGTTTAAAGGGCCTGGACCACCAGTTTAACAAGGATTCCTGGGGAGCCCCGAGGATTGCCGCGATTCCCGCGAATTGCCAAAAATTCACGGGGGTAGCACAGCTGGCCCAAGAGGGCCACAAGACGGTCCCAGGGGGACCGGGATCGCCGCACGATCGGTCCAAGACTTCCAAGATGGTCTCCAGTCAGCCGAAAAAGCGCCCAAGACGTCCGAAGAGGACTCCAAGAGCCGTCCCAAGAGGGCTCTGGGAGGCCAAAATCATTGTTTCATCATGAGGTTTTAGATGCTTTTGAGGCCCTCGAGTGTTCGAGCTTCCAACACTCCATAACGGCCCAAGAGCATCATCATCATCATCATCATCATCATCATCATCATCATCATCATCATCATCACCACCACCACCATCATCATCATCATCATCATCATCAGCAGCAGCATCATCATCAGCATCATGATCATCATCACCACCATCATCATCATCAGCAGCAGCATCATCATCAGCATCATGATTATAATCAGAATCATCATCATCATCATCAGCAGCATCATCATCATCACAATTATTATGATCATCAGCATCATCATCATCGCCATCATCGTCAGCATCATCATGTTGATCATTCACATCATCGTCATCATTATCAGCCTCAGCCTCAGCATCCGCATCATCATGATCAGCATCACATCATCATCGTCATCAACATCACCATCCACAACATCACCATCATCATCATCATCATCAACATCAACATCAACATCAACATCATCGTCGTCATCACCATTATCATCATCAGCATCATCACCATCATCGTCATCGTCATCAGCACCATCAGCAGCAGCCTCATCATCGTCATCATCAGTCGCAGCAGCAGCCTCATCACAATCATTAACATTCGCATCATCATCATCATCATCATCATCATCATCATCATCATCATCACCATCATCATCCTCATCATCATCATCATCATCATCGTCATCATCATCGTCGTCAATACCATCATCATCGTCCTCCTCCTCATCATCCTCGTCGTCCTCCTCTTCCTTCTCCTCCTCCTCCTCTTCCCCCTGGTCATCCCAGATAGGGTGCGTGTTGGCAGAGTCCATGTTCTCTCCGATCTGGCCGCCCGACATGACCTCTTAGTGGCACAAGGAGGGAGTCGGGAAAAAGAGGAGAGAGAGGTCCAGCATGGCGGGGAGCACTCTTGGGATCGACTCCCCTGGTGTGCTCTTTTCGTGTAGCGTTCTCTTTAACAAGGGATCGACACCAGGAGGAAAGAAAATGTACCGCCGATCGACCACACAACTCCTTCGTAGGGCGTTCTGCTCACCACCGGGCTCACCTCTGGCGGCGACTGGAGGCATCAAATCTAAAATATGCGGCAAATGCTCCTATCAAACGTCCGGGCGAACTGCACACTCACCCAATCCGCCCTTTACGTTACGCCATGTGGAAGAGAAGAGCAAGATGGCTCGGAGCACAGGCCAGACCAAGTCCCAGCACCCCAGAGGGGTGGCGGCGCAAAAGGAGCGAGTGGGGGAGGGAGCGACGGCGCCAGAGGGCCCAAAGAACCTCCAGCGGCCTCCTGGGGCCTCCTGGGGCCTCTTGGAGCCTGCATGGGTCCCGCGAGGGCCTCCTGCAGCTGACCCTGGACGGGGTGGCGGGGCGTTGTGACGAGCCCGACGCTGGCGCCGCAGCAGTGCGAAGGAGAGGGGGGCTGGCGATGAAGCTTTCCGAGCGCCGCCTGGCGCACGCTTCCCGAGCTGGACGCTGAGACCATCCCTGCAGCCCACCCACCCCCGTCTGGCTTGACCTCCCAGTCTCCCCCGCACCCGCTGGGCGACCAGAGCCGCTGTTTCTAAACTGTCGGCGAACTCTGGCTGTTGCGAGAGATCGCCTGCTCTTTCGGGGACACCACTGGCGGCGAACTGTCAGGGGGCCCCTTTGCTTGTGGGTGGAATGATCGGGGAGGCCCTTCGATTTTTGCGCTGGGGCGTAGCTGTGAAGCCAGGACTCATACACGTTCTCCGCCTGGGGAACCGATCTTCCAGGACCCCAGGGGGCGCCGACGTCGCTGATGCATCACCGATGCATCGGCGATGCGTCGGCGACGTCGGCGTGGAAAATCGGGCTCCACATCGACCCGCACCGCCGATGCATCCCACCGACCCCATCCCATTTACTTCGACGCCACTTGGGCGGCCTGGACATAGCCACCGCCCCCCATGGGTTCCAGGAAGGTCGGGTCCCGATGCTGGCAGATACATGTGAGCCCAGGCCTCGGAGAAGCCCGTGCCCGCGTCCGCGCTCGTGCTCAGTTCGACGCCACTGAATTCGTCAGCAGGGAGCCCTGGGGGAGGCCCAAGCACACCAAGTGCCAAGTGCAAGGACCGAGCAGGGCGAGGCAAAGAGAGAGGGAGGACGGATAAGCAGCCACATGTGAGCCCTACCCTTGAAGGTAAGAGCTCTAAAGAAACGGCTGGGATTAAGAATTAGGAGGATGTCTGCAGCGAATTGAACCCCAGCGGGGGTGTCCGACGCCCCAGCGTCGAGTGGACCCACAGGAACAGAGTTCGCGATTTGTCGCAGAAGCAGGGGGAGGACGGAGGAGAAGCCTGAAAGGTGGGGGGGAGGGCACGCCGTAGCGATATGGGTGCCTAGGTCACCTGGCGCTTTACGCCCCATGATGTGCGATCATCTTCGCGCAATCACGCCATCGCGCCCCCCCCGGAGAAGGGCAATCCGCTCTGGCCCAGGCCGCGACGCGCGAAGCGCGATCTTTGCTTCGCGCAACCGCGGGTGACGTGGGGGGACGGGGCTGGCCGATGCAGCACGGCCGCAGGAGCGCAGGAGCGCGGACTGAGACAGGAGGGCACCGGGGCGAAGAGGGGCAGGATCAGGCGGCAACTCCTGGGAGGTCTTCGCGAGAACGGTTAAGGGCTCTCAAGCCGGATTCGCAAGTCGCTAAGCCCGAGCAGCCCAAATCAAGCCCAGGACAAAGCCGGATGAAGCCAGATAGATTAAGCAGGACTCAGCGGGATTAGGACGAAGTGGAAGGGACTATGCTGGATGAGGCCTGCTCTCCACCTGAGCTCGAACGCTGCGCAAGGAACGCAGGGGTTCTTCTGGCCACGGCGAGCCTCGGCCTCGACGAGCTTCCCCGACCTGAATGTGAGAACCCCCCCCTGACCCCAACGTGGTCCATATTTCAGCATCTTGACTGTGACCTCCCAGGAGTTGCATCCCAGGTAGGGGGCTGGGCAGCGCAGGGCAGAGGCGGGGCCGGGCGGCGAAGGGGGCGCGGGGGCCTCGCACGAGGGGGGGAGGCGGGGGCCCTGCCTCCTGCGCGGCGGGTCGCGCGGCGGCCCGCGGCGGCGCGCTGCGGAGTCGGAGATCCGAGCGGTGCGCGCGGGGAGGCTCACCATCTCAGGGGAGCACTCGGGACAATCGCCACCGAGGACCCCATGTCGCCGGCGAACCCGGGGGGGAAGTGAGAAGGAGAAGACCTTCTCGGAAAGCGACGGGGTTTCTCACAAGGCCTCCGTCCTTTTCGGGGAGGTTTTCGGCGATTTCGGGAAAAGCTTAAAACAACGTGGAAAAATCTCAGGTGGCTGGGGGACTTCCAAGCCTTCTGAGAAGACCCGCCCCTTCTGACTTCCCCCCGGGGGCTGGCAGTCGACATTGGGGGGGGGGGCGGCGGCCCCTCGATGGGTTTTCGGTGGCGGTGGTCCGTGTCTCTCCTCGGACCATCTCCGACAACCCAAGTCGGGCGGGGCCTTCTTGCTGTAGACCGCGCGAGCCGCGGAGCCAAGGTTGGAGCCCATGGCCGCGCCGAAGCAGAGCCACGTGAAGGACCTAGGCGCGGCGCCCCAGGGATCGCTCTGCGCGCGGGCGGCCGAGCCGAAGGGAGGAAGGCAAGGGGAGACTTGGGGAGGGAGCGCACGAGTCGGGGGGGCGCCGAATGACCAGCTCACCGACCCGCGCCAGGCACATCCCGGGCCCAGGATTGGTGTCTATGCGTGTGCGCGTGCGCGCGCGCGTGATTGTGTGATTGTACGTGTGCGTGCGTGCGTGCGTGTGTGCGTGCGCGTGCGCGTGCGCGTGCGGGTGCGGATATGTGTGTGTGTGTGTGTGCGCGGGCGCGGGCGCGGACACGGGCGCGGGCGCGTGCGCGTGCGCGTGCGGGTGCGGATGTGTGTGTGTGTTGTGCTGTGTTGTGTTGTGCTGTGTTATGTTGTACTGTGCTGTGTTGTGTTGTGTTGTGCTGCGCTGTGCTGCGCTGCGATATGCTGAATAATTGATGCTCGTGTGCGCGTCTACAGATGTACATTTATATATATATATATATGTGTATTATGTATATGCACATGTATGTATGTGTCTATAAATATGTATGCGTGTGTGTGAATGTGTATGTAAATGTAAAATTGTATATGCATATGTATATGAATATGGAAAGTATAGTGGTGATTAAGTGTACATGTACGTGTGTGTATATGTATGTGTATATGTGTATGTATATGTATGTGTAGATGTATGCTTATATGTCTGTGTATACGTACATGTATGGGGATGCGTGTATGTGTATGTGTATATGTGTGTGGGTGCGTGAGTGCGTCCGTGCATATGTGCGTAAGTGTATGTGGAACTGCGTAAATGTGTGAACGTGTGTAAATGTGTGTACATGTGTGTAAGTGTTTATGGAATTGTATGGGTGGATGTGTAAGTGCGACAACTGTGTGTACATGTGCGTACGCGTGCGTAGGTGTGCGCAAGTGTGTAAGTGTGTAAGTGTGTAGGTGTGCCCAAATGTGTGTAAGTGTGTGCACGTGTGTGAGTGTGTAAATGTCAGCGTGTGTACGTGTGCAGGTGTATGTAGATGTGTGTAGGTGTGTGTAGGTGTGCGAAGTGCGTGCAAGTGTAAGTGTGCGTCAGTGTGTGTAAGTGTGTGTAAGTGTGTGTAAACGTGTGTAACTGTGTGTAAGTGTGTGTAAGTGTGTAAGAGCGCGCGGGTGTGTAAGTGTGTGTAAGCGTATGTAAGTGCGTAAGTGTGTATATGTGTGGGCGAAATTGTGAAGTAAATGTGCGTGCATGTGCGCAAGTGTAACCTAGTGCCGCCGAGAGTAATGCCACAGGGATAATACAGTTCGGGGTTGCGGGGGGATTACAAAATGTTGCCGACCGGAGGCCACCATGTGGGAGGAGAAAGAGATGATGTTAAGAGGACCGAAAGCCGAGGATCGAGGATCGAGAATCGATGTCCGAGGATCGAGGATCGAGATCCCAAAGTCGAGGATCGAGGTCCGAGGATCGACGGCGGCGATGTCCAAGGATCGAGGATCGAGGATAGAGGTCCGAGGGTCGAAGATCGAGGCCCGAGGATCGAGGTCCAGGGTGCCAGGGGGAGAAGGAGGAAGACAGAGAGAGACAGAGACAGAAAGATACAGATAGTCAGAAAGAGAAAGAGAAAAAAGTAAAGAACTATAGACAGACAGAAGGAGAGAGGAGGACGAAGAGGAGGAGGAGAACCCAAACCTATTAAATTTAATTTGTAACAAACAATGGAAAGTAAAATGTTTATCTGCTCGTGCAGGGGTAGATCACGTGCCTCCATGTTCGTGGATACCAAACCACAGCGATAAAAAAATGCAGGGTGCCAGGGAGGGAAGGAGGAAGACATATAGAGACATATACAAACAGTTCAACAGAGAAAGAGAGAGATGGAGAAAAGTAGAGAAAGATAGACAGACCGAAGGAGAGAGAGAGAGAGAGAGGAGGAGGAGGAGGAGGAGGAGGAGGAGGAGAAAAGCCAAAGTTCCAAATCAATTTGTAAACAAACAATGGGAATTCAGATGTTCATCTGCTCGTGTAGGGTGCCTCATGTGCCTCGGTTTCCGTGGATAGTAAATCACAGCGATATATATATATATATATATATATATATATATTCTTTCATATTAAAAAAATATGGGGGCCAGGGGGAAAAGGAAAAAGACAGAGAGAGAGAGAGAGAGACAAAGAGAGAGAGAGGGAAAAAAAAAGAAGAAAACAAAACAAAACAAAAACGAGAGAGAGGAGGAGGAGGAGGAGGAAGAGGAAGTCTCTCCTCGACAAGTCTCTCGCTTCCCTTAGGACATCCTCGAAGAATTGTTGGTTCCACTTGATACATTTTTGAAGAACTGATCGTTTCGCTTGGATCGAAGTGGCCGCCGCGTCTGAACACTCGTGCTGAAACGCAAGGAAAGCGCACGCTTAAACACTAGACGCTGCCTCCAAAAATTGTTGGTCTCGCTTGAGACATCCTCGAATACGTTTTCGTTTCGCTTGATGTTGCTATATCAACATAAAAAGGAAGTGAACCTCGATGGTGAACTTTTCACACAAAAAAAGAGCTCGGCCTCCGCGCCCCGCGCCCCAGACCAAACTCCGATCGACCGTGGATAAACAACTCTAGCGTGTCAAGGGGGGGTCCTTGTTTATCAGCGGCAGGCGGTTATGCACATGTTTGTGTAAAAGTTATTGTGTGTGTTTGTGTGGGGCCGTATGTGTTTGTGAGGTTGTGTGCGTTCGTGTGCGTGTGTGTGTTTGTGTGTTTGAGTGTGGTTGTGTTATGCGTGGGTTTGTGTTTGTGTGCGTTTGTAAGTAAGTGTGCGCGTGTGCGTGTGCGTGTGCCCTTGGCAATGCGAACGTCCGCGCATCGCGCGTGGCTGCTACCCGTCTTCACGCGCTGGCGGTGCAGGGCAGGTTTTCTCCCTGCAGCCCACCGACATTCTGTCGGTCATGGACGGCCCCCTCGTCTGATGCCGCTCCTCAAGCTACGCTGCTACCTGGTCGTGGATTGGACTACCACCCCGGGCCTCTTCCGCATCACCCGGTGGCACAACGTTGCACATCGCCTTCGTGGTGCTCCTCTTCGTCCTGGGCGTCGACCTGGTCAAGTGGCACGTCCCCCTCTGCAGCGCTTGAGGCTGGTGTTCGCGACGCGCCGTCGACGGCAACACCTCCTCCTCCACCCTCCGGGTCTTCGCCCCCGGTACCAGTCCGCGGTGCACCTGCTCCTGCACTTCCACTTCGGCACCGCCTGCACCCCGGGCTTCGCCCGCTCCGGCCGCCTGAGGCCCCACCTTCCTGTGCCCTGTCTCCCTAAATAAAGCTGCGCGTAGCCGGCCCAGCTTTTAGCGGAAGAGGTTCGCTCTCGCCCCGCAGATCAAAAAGTGTGTGCGTGTGTGTGTGGTTGTGTGTGAATGTGTGTGGTTGTGCGTGGTTGCCTCCACCCTGTCTGCCTGGCCCTCCCCGGTTCTGAAGGTTGGCTGGCCTTGACCGCCCCCCGGGCCGGCCCCCCTTTGCCTGGTTTTCAGGCCGGCTTGCGGTCCCCGCGCCGGCTTCGCTGGCGGGCCTGCTCGCCCGCTGCTCCGCCCCCCCGCGGCCCCTAACCACAGGGTACCCGGGCCGCCCGCCATGTGGCGCCTCGCAGGTCCATGGATTCCATGGATCTCGGCGCCTCTTCTCGCTTCGCCTGCCGGGCCCTTCCCAGCTACCCCCCGGCCCATCCCCTGAAGTGGTCTTCTCCGGCTGGTCTGTCGCTTGGACGGTCGGCTCGCTCTCGGCGCACGGCCGCCTTACTGTGCTGCCCGTCCCCATCACTGCCTCGGCCTGATCCCCCCGCCTCGCGCGGCCACCCCTGGCTGTTGCCCGCCCACGGCTGCCCCGCGGCTGCCGCCCCGCTGTCCCGGCGCCGCCCCTGCCGCGGCCTGGCCCCTCTGAACGGGCCCAAATTATGTCTCCCTCCCGCCCGCGCCGGGCCTTCCCCCTCCTCCTCACGCGCATCGCGGCTTAATTAGCAATCGCATGCCCTATATTTGCCATATCCGCCAGCGCTGTCACTCTGCCTAGCCGCCGACGCAAAGCATTGTGTGTGGTTTTGTCTATGTGTGTGTGGTTGTGTGTTTGTATGTGTTTTTGTGTGTTTTGAGTGTGTTTGTATGTGTGTGTGTGTGTTTGTGTGTGGTTGTGTGCGGTTGTGTGTTGTTGTGTGTTTGTATGTTTGTGTGTTTGCGTGGTTGTGTGGTTGTGTGTTTGTGTATGTTTGTTGTGTGTTTGTTGTGTGTTTGTGTGTTTGTGTGTTTGTGTGTGCTTAGCTTGTGTGTGTGTGTTCTGTGCTTGTGTTTGTGTTTGTGTGTGTTTTGTGTGTTGTGGTTATGTGTGTTGTGTTTATGTGTATGCGCGCGTGTGTAAACTTGGTGAGCAGACAAGGCTTCGATCAGATTCTGGCGAGTGCCCGGGACTTGGCACCCACGGGATGGGATCTCAAGGAATACACCCAAGAGAAAAAAGCACCCTACCTTTACGAGGTCAAGGTAATTCAAGACAACGTCACGTGTTTCACTCCATACGGACGCGACGTGCTGGATAACGACTTCGTGGACCAATGCCACCTGTGCAAGCTCCACACCATCCTGGTTTGGGGCCAACCACTGGACGCTTCGTCGGCACACGGTGAGGGGCGGTCACTTAGCGAAAGCAGCGACAACCTCGGCACGGCGTCTCCCGTGGATTTGGGGGCGAACCCGCACCTCCAGTTCATCGACACATCCGAAGTGGCGGCGGAAGCCGTTGCGACCTTGCAGAGGCAGCCCACAGCTCAGGACTCGCGGGCCCTGCGCGCACTTGCTCGGGCACATCCCAATATCATCGCGGCGGGGGGTGTTGATAACAGAGCAGACGCCGTGCGAATTCTCAAGAACGGCAAGGCGGAAGAGGCCGCGCTGGAAGTTTGCACAGCCACTCCAGGCACGCTGGCCGTCTACTGGCAGGACGGCGTCAACAACGCTGCCCTGCCAGGACCAATGGTGCTTCCCGCCCTGCACAAAACCTCTCTGCCCCCACACTTCGAAAGCTGCGTGCCGCCTGTACACGACAAGTGTTGCAACAACCCGCGTATCTGGAACAGGGCCAATCACCCAAACTGGACGGAACTCCCTGTGGGGTCACGAAGCGTGCGAGTGGTGTTCCGACATGGGCGGGGAACCGCATGCGAGGACGGTCATTTGAACCTTAGATGGAGCTCCCTATGGAGCCCTATGCTCTCTATAGGTGTGCAGAAATGGACGGGGAAACGCATGCGAGGACGGCCATTGGGGCCTTAGGTGGAGCCCCCATATGGGGCCACGAAACGTATCAGGGGTATTCCGAAGTGGGCGGGGAACCGCATGCGAGGACGGCCACTGGGACCTTAGCTGGAGCTCCCGATGGACGGACGGACGCCGATGTCCGCGCCCGCGTGCCACGACACACGGCCGCGCGCCTTGAAGGCGACGGCTGGGGCGCGGGAGCGCCTGAAAATGATGCAGCCTGCTCTCACTATCAGCGGTAACGTGCTTCATTTGATTGTTCGATCCACATAATTAGTGCAATCATTGTGTCGGGGCGTCTGTCGCCGCGCAAACTTGCCTGGAAATTGAAGTCCACTATAAAATATGTGGATACGTATCGAAATCATCCGGCGCCTTCAGGTCGCAACGCCGAAACTGCTCTGAAAATCCTTAAGTAAATATCTGACTTGATCAGAGGGTCGCCCGTCCCGCCATGAAGTTGCACGTTCTCCGCCACAGATGTGTCCGATGCATGTTACCATAATGTTGTTCGAAATCAAACCTCGATAAGGAAGTGTCCGGCCACTGCGGGGACGCAGAAAGTAGATTGCTACGCTTGTTCAGCACGTGCACGTCGTTACCATCGCAAGCGAGATTGTTATTTTTTGTGCGCCCGAGAATGTAAACAACATCTTTGCCGATATCAATCGTCGCGTTGAATGTTTGTGTACCAAGGTTTTTGAGAACGTTTCCCACACTCAAGAATAACACATCGCATCCGAATAAGACTCGACCGGCTGATCGCTATCTCTGTCACCGATATTCCCATCCAGGGGCTCCGAATGTGCCACACAAGAACTAGGATCACCATCGTCGCTGTGATGACTCTCATTCCCCGCGCCTTCTGACTCGAAATGTTTCTGCCCAGTGCCTGGTTGTAGTGACGTAGAAATCAACATGTCAATCCGATCCATACTGTTACAAAATAAGTCAACTTTGCTGGCGAGCGATTGTGATTATGATGGTTGCGGCCGTCCATGCGATGCAGAAACTCTGTCCATGACGCTATCGACTCTCTGCTGGCAGTGGTGCACTGTGTTTTGAAGCATGAATTGACAGCCGGCCACCTGGTTCAATGTGCAAAGCATGCTGTTGAAATTCAGATGAATTTGCTCCATGTGTTTAGTGACATCTGAAATCTTAGCACACAGAAGTGCAACAGAAGAAAGTGCTGATCCTTGCTGGGCGATATGCGAACCAAGTGATTCCAATTGAGGTGGTATGCATTCAGCCATGTTCCGCCTATCTCGACGACGTTGAGTGTCGGACCGGACCTGCTCGCGAGCAACATTCCTTTGCAACTTCCAATCAGCTGCCCATCGCTGAGGTGACATTGCGGTAAAGGCCACTCTGCAAAATCACGTGGGGCCTACTTGACTTGAGCTCCCGATGGGGCCACGAAACGTGTGAGTGGTGTGTTGGAATGGGCGAGAAACCGCATGCGAGGGCGACCATTGGGGCCTGAGGTGGAGCTCCCGATGGGGCCACGAAGCGTGCGAGGGGTGTTCTGAAATGGGCGGGGAACCGCGTGCGAGGAAGAAAACTCTGACCTTAGATGGCGCTCCCGATGGGTCCACGAAGCATGCGAGGGTGTGCCGAAATGGGTGGGGAACCGCATGCGAGGACGGTCACTGGAGCCTCAGGTGGAGCTCCCCTATGGGGCCACGAAGTGTGCAAGGGGTGTGTGTTGAAATGGGCGGGGAACCGCATACGAGGACAGCCATTGGGGCCTTAGGCGGAGCTCCCCATGGGGCCACGAAGCGTGTGAGTGGTATGCCGAAAAATGGGCGGGGAACCGCATGCGAGGGCATGCGAGGGCGGCCACTGGGGCCGTAGGTGGAGCTCACTAAGGGGCCACGAAACTTGCGAGGGGGGTGCCGAAATGGACGTACGGAGGGTAGAGGCAGGTGTGGGAGGAGGGAGGAGCGGGAGGAGGAAGGAGGGTGGAGGAGAGCAGCAAAATGAGGGCCCAGCACAACAGGATGGCTGGGGGGGGGGGGGAAACGTGCGGCTGGCTGCTGCTCGCCAACTTCATGGTCTTACTCTTTGTTTCGTGTTTGCTCGCCTTTGCTCCTCATCTGGCCGGTTTTTCATCACGAACCGTCGTCTGATGGTCCGCGGACCCAACGAAGGCCACTGGAGGCAGAAATCTGGTGAAAACCCTTCGTCGTGAATTTTGTTCGCAATGCGAGGAGGTCTGGGGCTCAGATGTTATTGAAACCGCCGGGGACGCTGTTGTTCCGTTTTCCATGCTTCGCTCTTGACTCGAAACAACTTGTTTAAAACGGCACCCCAGAAAGTGGGCGTGAGGCAGGCGGCATCGCGATATCAAAAAAATGCAAAGCACAATGCAAACGGAACGAAAACGGGCAGGTGGGCCACTGCAATAAAAACGGAGCCCAAAACATGCAAAAAGAACGTCGACCCTCGAAAGGACCCCCAAAAAAACGCCCTCAACGTCATCTAAAATCTGAGGGGATCTGGTCCGCCCCTTTCCCCAGGACGGCATCGTTCGGAAGCCCCTCCAGAGAGCCCTTAGGCGGCTGGCAGCTCGGAGGCGCTGGCGATGGCCACGCCAGCGATGATCGGCGTCAAGGCGGCGTAGACCTGGAGATCCGTGGCGGCGCGGCAGGGGAGAGAGAGAAGGGGAAGCAAGCAAACGACGACGATTAATTTTAGGGGGGGGAACTGGCTCACCGGGAGGACATCGAGCTGGAATCGACGATACATCGCCGGTAGATCGACGATACGCTCCCCGACAGCAAATCCGGCCGTTCCTGGGCTGGGCGGGTCCTTCGGGCCCCTGCGGGCGATCCATGGACGATTGAGGATCGATGCATCACCCCTGAGCCTATCCTCGGAGGCGAGCCCGTGGGGGGAAGTGAGAAGGGGCGAGCCTTCTCAGAAGGCTCGGAAGTCCCCGGGCCTTCTGAGAAGTTTTCTAAGCCTTCCCCGAAGACAGAGAAAACCTTCTCGGAAGGCGCGAGGGCTTATGAGAAGAAGTCCCGCCGCCTTCTGAGAAGGCCTTCTCCTTCTCACTTCTCCCCCTCGCTCACCGCCGATATCCCCCCATAACGTTGCCCCTGAAGACGACGACAAACGCGGAGGCGACAGGACGACGCGAGAGGGCAGGCAGGCGGGAGGGAACAAGAGGGCGACGAAATCAATACATAGGGCAACGAGATCGATACATGGGGCGCCTGAACATAGGGCGACGAGATCAATGCATATCCACCGCCGCTGGCCAGACCCAACCTGAGCCCAGGAGCGGTGTACATGCCTCCCTGGCCAAGCCAGGGAGCCTCAGCTTCCCGTCCAGCGAGCGAGCCCGCTCCGCCGCCGACTGGGCAGATGGCCGAGGCTCGGCTCCGAAGGCGCCGTCAGGACTGGGCCCGCTCGGCCGTCGAGCGGGACCGGTCTCTCTCGAGCACGCTCGGCGGCCGAGCGGCCCCGGACGCCGAGGCGGGATCTCAGAACGGACCCCTTTTTTCAGCACAAGGTTCCAGGGGAGGAGGGGGAGCGGACACAGCAGCACGATGGCAAGCCCGGTGGCGCAATCGTGAAGCGACAAGCTACATTGCTACTCCGAGCGCCGTGCACACGAGTGGCACCAAAGCAACAAGCCACGTCGAGAAGGCTTTCCTGCTAGCGGGCTCCTGGAAGGGAACCCTGGGGCGAGGAACCCGCAGAAAACCCCTCCAGCGAGCTCCTCTGGAGATGCCTCTTGAGAGGCCCCGCCCTCGAAGGGCGCGGACAGAGGAAAGCGGGTCGAAGCGCGTTTTTCTTGGATCAGCGCTGGGACACACCTCCCCCATCCAAGAAATCCGCGCGGACCCTCGAAAGTGAATGTGCATGCAGTTGCTGCATGGTTCTTAATACGACTAATAAGAATGTTGTTGCGATCATCCGCCTTATCCATACGACAACTACTACTCATCGTTGTACTATGAAATGTTCCAGTTAACACACTACGCGTGATAGAACTGCCGCATGATAGTGTTATTGTTTATGCTCTTAGTTGGCTACTATGCTTGCAAGCACGATAAACATCAAACGTAACAGTAGCAATAGTAGTAATCGTAGTAGAAGTCGACGGAATATTAATAGTAGTAGTTGTTGTTGTAGTAGCAGTAGTAGTAGTAGTAGTAGTAGTAGTAGTAGTAGTAGTAGTAGTCGTAGTAGTCGTAGTAGTAGTAGTAGTAGTAGTAGTAGTAGTAGTAGTAGTAGTAGTAGCAGTAGCAGTAGCAGTAGCAGTAGCAGTAGCAGTAGCAGTAGTAGTAGCAGTAGTCGTAGTCGTAGTCGTAGTCGTCGTCGTCGTCGTCGTAGTCGTCGTCGTCGTCGTCGTCGTCGTCCGTCGTCGTCGTCGTCGTCGTCGTCGTCGTCCGTCGTCGTCGTCGTCGTCGTCGTCGTCGTCGTCGTCGTCGTCGTCGTCGTCGTCGTCGTCGTCGTCGGTCGTCCGTCGTCGTCGTCGTCGTCGTCGTCGTCGTCGTCGTCGTCGTCGTCGTCGTCGTCGTCGTCGTCGTCGTCGTCGTCGTCGGTCTAGTAGTAGTAGTAGTAGTAGTAGTAGTAGTAGTAGTAGTAGTAGTAGTAGTAGTAGTAATAGTAGTTAGTAGTAGTAGTAGTAGTAGTAGTAGTAGTAGTAGTAGTAGTAGTAGTAGTAGTAGTAGTCGTAGTAGACGTAGTAGTAGTAGTAGTAGTAGTAGTAGTAGTAGTAGTAGTAGTAGTAGTAGTAGTAGTAGTAGTAGTAGTAGTAGTAGTAGTAGTAGTAGTAGTAGTAGTAGTAGTAGTAGTAGTAGTAGTAGTAGTAGTAGTAGTAGTAGTAGTAGTAGTAGTAGTAGTAGTAGTAGTAGTAGTAGTAGTAGTAGTACTAGTACTAGTAGTAGTAGTAGTAGTAGTAGTAGTAGTACTAGTAGTAGTAGTAGTAGTAGTAATAAAACCCAGGACGGGAACAGGCCGGGATCGGTGAGGAGATCGGCTGACGTCCCCCCGGGCCCGCGGCGGCCTCCCCCGTCCCCGCGCCCCCAGGACTGGCATGCGCCCCTCCTGGCACGCCCACTTGTGCCGGGGCCCTGTGATTCCTCGGCAGGGTCGTCGGGGAGAGGCCCTGTACACAAATCTCCGACAGCCCGAGAGTTCAAATGGCGTCGAATTTACGAACGGCCTGAAAAACGTACAACACTCAATCCCATAAGAAGGGACTGTTAGCCAGCGCGACGCCAAACAGTGATTGCCTACAGTATACGCGGCACAATCTAGGTGGTGCAGTAAATGTGGTGCAAGCTGGGTGGTGCAATCCATGTGGCGCGATCTATGAGGCGCACAGCGATGCGAAGCAATGCAAAGCAATGCAAAGCAACTCAAAGCAGTTCAAAGTGACGCAAAGCAACGCAAAGCAACGCAATGAAATTGCAAAGCAATTCAACGCATTTCAAAGCGATGCAAAGCAACGCAAAGCAATGTAACGCAATGCAATGCAACGAAATGCACAGCCATGCAAAACAAACCAAAGAAACACAAAGCCCAAAAAAATATCCTGGCGAAGGTCCCAACCATATCCAGTTGTGGGTACCGTAATTGTGAATATCTGCTTCGGTGAAGCTCCCTATAGAGCCACGAAGCGCTGCACTGGGCGGGGGGGAACGCTGTACTGTGTGGGTGGTGTGCCAAATTGGGTTTCCGGGCATGCGGATGGTCCCACTGAGGGCTTCGGTGGAGCTCCCTATGGGGCCACGAAGCGCTCTACAGAGTGAGCGAAAATGCCAGATTGGGATTCCGGGACGCATGCGGACGGTCCCACTGGGGGCTTCGGTGGAGCCCCCTATGGGGCCACGAAAAGCTGCACTGCGCGGGTGAAAATGCCAAATTACATTTCCCGGACGCATACGGACGGTGGCACTGGGGCCTTGGGTGGAGCCCCCTATAGGGCCACGAAACGCTGCACTGGGCGAGTGAAAATGCCAAATTGGGCTTCCAGGACGCATGCGAACGGGGGCACTGGGGCCTTCGGTGGAGCTCCCTATGGGGCCACGAAACGCTGTACTGGGTGTGCGGGACGCATGCGGACAGTAGCGCTGGGACCTTCGGTGGGGCTCCCTATGGGGCCACGAAACGCTGTACTGGGCGTGCGGGACGCATGCGGACGGTAGCACTGGGACCTTCGGTGGGGCTCCCTATGGGGCCACGAAACGCTGTACTGGGTGGGTGAAACGCAGGGAGGAGGGGGAGGAGGGCCACGAAACGCTGTACTGGGTGTGCGGGACGCATGCGGACGGTAACACTGGGACCTTCGGTGGAGCTCTCTATGGGGCCACGAAACGCTGTACTGGGTGTGCGGGACGCATGCGGACGGAAGCACTGGGACCTTTGGTGGGGCTCCCTATGGGGCCACGAAACGCTGTACTGGGTGTGCGGGACGCATGCGGACAGTAGCGCTGGGACCTTCGGTGGGGCTCCCTATGGGGCCACGAAACGCGGGGAGGAGCTCCCTATGGGGCCACGAAACGTTGTACTGGGTGCGCGGGACGCATGCGGACGGTAGCGCTGGGACCTTCGGTGGGGCTCCCTATGGGGCCACGAAACGCTGTACTGGGTGTGCGGGACGCATGCGGACGGTAGCACTGGGACCTTCGGTGGGGCTCCCTATGGGGCCACGAAACGCTGTACTGGGTGGGTGAAACGCAGGGAGGAGGGGGAGGAGGGCCACGAAACGCTGTACTGGGTGTGCGGGACGCATGCGGACGGTAACACTGGGACCTTCGGTGGAGCTCTCTATGGGGCCACGAAACGCTGTACTGGGTGTGCGGGACGCATGCGGACGGAAGCACTGGGACCTTTGGTGGGGCTCCCTATGGGGCCACGAAACGCTGTACTGGGTGTGCGGGACGCATGCGGACGGTAGCACTGGGACCTTCGAAGGGGCTCCCTATGGGGCCACGAAACGCTGTACTGGGTGGGTGAAACGCCGGGAGGAGGGGGAGGGCCACGAAACGCTGTACTGGGTGTGCGGGACGCATGCGGACGGTAGCACTGGGACCTTCGGTGGGGCTCCCTGTGGGGCCACGAAACGCTGTACTGGGTGTGCGGGACGCATGCGGACGGTAGGAGGAGGGGGGGGGCACGAGGAGAAGAGGAGAACGCGGGGACCGTTTCTTCAAAACGAGGACCCAACACCACAGGATGGTTGGGAACAAAACAAAACAACGCAGAGCAGCGCAATTCAAAGCAATGCATATCAACGTAACGCAGTGCAAAGCAACGCACATAGAGCAATGCAAAGCAATGGAATGCAATGCAAAGTAACACAAAACAATGCGAAGTAACGCAGGCCGAGACGGCGACGAGGCGGCGACGGCGACCACATAGACGCAAGACCGATGGGCAGGCTCAGAGCGACGGGGCGGCGACGGCGACCACATAGCCGTCATACCGACGGGCAGGCCCAGTGCCTCAGAAAAGAAATAAGAACCCCTTGAATGCAAGCACTGTTGAGGGAATAAACCCAGCGCGACCTCGAGTAGGGGGGGATTCTCGCCCAAAGCAATTCAAAGCAGATCTGAGCAATACAAACAAATGCAAAGCAAAGCATTGCTTGACATTGCTTGGCCTTG